GCTATTTCAGAAAAAGATTCTCTAGTGGCTGTTTGAGTCCCAACTACCAGAGGAAATCAAACCGAGCAATAAAAAAAAAAGGAAAAGGAAATGTTTAAAACATGGTGGGGGGGGGCTGGGGCATAGCACCAAGACCAATTCATTGAGACAAAGTGGTCTAGGTACCTATAGTGTTCCTTTAAGATTAAATGTATACTGTCCTACTGTGTTTTACACCCCACCTCCTTTAGACTGTAAGCTTTTTTGAGCAGGGTCCTCTTCAACCTAGCGTTCTTGTAAGTTTTCTTGTAATTGTCCTATTTATAATGAAATCCCCCCTCTAATATTGTAAAACGCTACGGAATCTGTTGGCGCTATATAAATAGCGATAATATTAATAATAATAATAATAATAATAATAATAATAATAATAATATGTATATTTATGACATACTGCATTAGTTCGTTGGCATAACCCCTTTATCAATATGTTTTGTTTTGTTAGTTCAGGGATTTAGAAAACAACAAAAAAACAAAAAGCAACTTTAGTACATTCACAAATGTCAAAAAGACTGTAGATGTGATAATCAGTGACAGTAGTGACGCTTCAGATTTTATTACAGGCAAATATTAGGAAAGGAATACATTTTGCATTAATTCTCTTTGGATGATTGTTTAGTAAGGATTATCTCAGCAGTATCTCAACACAAGAATTTTCCTTGCTCTAAGAGGGATAAAAGACGATTCCAGTAGTATGACTGATAACCTACAAGAGCTGGAACTTTTGGGAAAAATAAGAATGCGTGTTTCAGCCTCACCCATTGCCAAGTACACAGCCCATATCCACGTACCATACACAAACCACAGCAGTAAAGTGGGTAACACGGAAGAGATCAGTGCCACCTCCGCCCTAAGTCTGATCAAAGAATTAGGAAAAGGCTACGTACTGAAACACACAGTCCCTACTACAAACTTTGATTTATAGTAATGTAGGTTATTATTCAGGGTATGAATTGGGCCCCCTAGTTCCAGCGAAAAAAGTCAATAGACAATTGGGTGCTTTCAACTTAAGAAACAACTACTTGGGGAAGACACAAGTTTAATGCGAGGGAACTCAAGTGGCCAGCACATGAAATCAACACTACTGAACACATTTGGAGTGCATTCGAATGGCAGCTCAGACCAGAAGGACCACGAGTGCCCAACACAGCAATGTAAGTGTCAAACTGTTCTTAAAGAGTTTGACAGATTACCGCTGGGTGGCAACAGAGAACTCCTAGAACCATAACAACTCTACCTTGCTGTAGTGGTTATAAAGCACAAAGTGTCCTTTTAACAAGGGGACATGGCTGAAGAAAAATTATATTTTAAACTTAAAAGGAAATTTTAAAGGTTTTTCTTTATTTAATGAGAAAGACACTTTTGAAAAATAAACAGTCACACTCTCACAGATATGCTTAGACACTCTTAAAAGTGAGAGGATTTAGGTTTATTTCAGTGGTGTGTTTTTCAATAAATAACTTCATACATTTTTATTTTACTATTAAAAGCTAATGCTAATAATAATAATAATAATAATAATAATAATAATAATACAAATAATGTATGATTAAAAATGATATAAGTACAAACAGCAAGACCACTGGCTGAAATATAATCACAGTTGAATCTTGGAAATATTTGTGCTATCGAAGTGTGCCTCGTCACAAAAATGTTGGGTAGCTCCAAACAAGAGTATTCTAGCATTAAAGTCTAAAATTCATCCCAGGCAAAAAAGAGAGAGAAAAAAAAAGTCCTCTTTGGCTAAACCTTCTAAAATATATAAATAGGACTAGGTATTCCTGACACTGACAGCACAAATATATTTATAGTTATCACGGGATATATTTATCTGCAAATTTTGAACATCTCCAAGTCTCTGAAAATCTAGGGTTTGTTACTCAAACATTTAATTAAAATAAGGGTATGTATTACAAAACACAATTGCATTTTGCAATTGTGAGACACATGGCTGCATACTACCTGGATCAAATGTTGACATTTAAAATACAAAGTTTAAAGGCACATTCTACCTCCATAACCACCTTAGCTCAATGAAGTTTTAATGGGGCTTAACTCCCTGGGTGCCTTACCTTACGGGATTAAATCATTTTCAAAAGGATTAACCCTGAAGTTGTGTTCCTGCGCGCCTCTCCTCAATATCTTCTTTATCCTCCTTTGGCTCCTTTGTCATCAGAAAAATTTGGCTTGCCTGGGTGCTGGGGATAAATTGAGAGCGTCAGCTCTTGCAACGTTACTTGTGATGGGCGACCAGTGATAAGCTGCGAGCGCCATTTTGAAGTTAAATCACTTAATACTTAAATCAGCCCTAGCCACACCTTCCCAGGCTGTGACTCACACAGCTCCCCTATACACTTCTTGAAAATTAGGTCTAATTTTTAAAAGACCCTTATTATATAGTATGTTTAATTTAGAAGTTCTTATCTCCTGCACTTTTACCATAAAAGCCCACTTAATGTGATTAAAGTTCAATTAACAGAACAGGCAAATAAAACTTGTAAAGTAAACACAGTGTACGGTAAAAAACTAAGCACTTTTTTTATGAAGGCTGTGTGAGCTAAGGCCTCAGAAACACAGTGATCGAACGTCTAAATGGAATAGAATTGAGCAGTGAGACTGCAGGAGCATGATCTATATACCAAAATCACTTCCTTTATCTAAAGCGGTTTTGAGGCTTAGAGTGTCCCTTTAATTAAAACAAGAATAAAAAATTAGAAGGAAAAAAAAAAAAATTAAATAGTTTAACTTATATTCCTAGAACTATAGCTCCCTATATTGCACCCCTCCCTTAGCACTGGGTGAGGTTCCGCCTTGGCTCCTCCTTTTACGATGTCATAGACCTAATGCGCATGCATAGCACAAGGACGTCCAGTGTCAATTAGGCGACCAAAAGTCACCTAATGACCCAGAAGTCTCTCTACTAGACAGCCACTAGAGGTGGAGTTAACCTTGATTAGTAATTATTGGAGTTTCTAAATAACTGCAATAATTACTATTGCAGGGTTAAAGGACCACTATAGTGCCAGGAAAACATACTCGTTTTCCTGGCACTATAGTGCTCTGAGGGTGCCCCCACCCTCAGGGTCACTCTCCCACCGGGTTCTAGGGGCTGGAAGGGGTTAAACTTACCTCTTTATCCAGCGCCTGAATGCGCATACGAGGCAGGAGCCGCGTGCGAATTCAGCCAGTCCATAGGAAAGCATTCACAATGCTTTCCTATGGAAGCTGGCGTCTTCTCACTGTGAAAATCACAGTGAGAAGCGCGGAAGCGCCTCTAGCAGCTGTCAATGAGACAGCCACTAGAGGCTGGATTAAACCATTTATAAACATAGCAGTTTCTTTGAAACTGCTATGTTTATAGAAAAAAGGGTTAAACCTAGCTGGACCAGGCACCCAGACCACTTCATTAAGCTGAAGTGGTCTGGGTGCCAATAGTGGTCCTTTAAGGGGACTGGGACAATGCACCCAGATCACTTCAATGAGCTGAAGTGGTCTGGGTGCCTATAGTATCTTTTTAATGCCTTAATAAATACGCCAAGCTTCTTTTCATTCCTGGTGACGCATTTGGTTTACGCCTGCTGCAGAGTTGCCGTAGATGGAAGCACACCCACTTGCCATTCATTGGGACAGAGCATCAGCTGACCGCTCTCAGCCAATGAATGGCACACTTTGAATTAAAATATATGTGCACAGAACTAAAAAAAAGAATTCTTCCAGGCTGATTAATGACGCCCCAATGACATGGATTTACAGATCCGGCAGCAAAGGGGTTAAACTCTGTATGTGTCAATTCCAAGCCCCATGAGCACTTTAAAATCACTTACGTGGTGCTTGTAGTAACCCTTTAGTGGCTGCAGAATACACAGCCAGGTAACAGATCACGCTCGGCTTTACAAATAAAACCGAAATATTCAATTCTAAATAATTCAGCACATAACGTATGAATTCCTATATTTTGCAGGGAATTTAAAAAAAGACTAAAAATGATTGTGAATTTGTACATTTGGAGACCAATATCCAAATGTGTACCCTATATAGTAAAATCTGAATTGCAATTTGAAATTGCAATCAGTGAATTGCACATTTAGCACAAAAATAACCTAAGTGAAAAAATGATCCACATAATGTATATTTCCAATAGTAACTTTTTGCCTTAAATTTGCATTTTCCCAAAAATAAAACAATCACAGTTTAATGGATCGCCCTTTCTCATTATCTTTGTTATTCACTAAACCACAATCGACGTGGAAATTTCATATTTATAGTCAAAAGTTGAGCTGATTAAATAAATACGCCTAAAAATTTAAAATTCCTTTGTCACTTAGTGATAGCGCGAATAACCCTGATTGTATTCTAATTTTGCACATTTGGCGCGTATCAAAAACATACCCAATCTGCAGGTCTCTCTCTAGCTATACAAACACATCCACGTTCTTAGGATTTGCATTGACACACATATTAAATAACTCAATTTACAAACTAATCCTTGGTTGGTCAAACATATTTATAGGTTTCTGGTTAAAAACACATACTCATTATAAACATAAAAACACCAAAATTAGGACCCCCTATAATGATCTTATGTGCATTTTTTCTCTCCAAAATACATACCCACATAGGGCATTTATTTACATATTTCTCATGAGAGATACACATATTAACATCCCTATATTTACACATATCTGAGAACACATACAAACATACTCTATGTACATTTGCACGTTTCACATGGCTCACACACACACACACACATATATATATAAACATATAAACATATATATATATATAATGTCCATGTGTGTGTGTTTTCTCGCAGGGCACAGTAATTGGTAATATAATAATGTATATATTGATCTATTTCTGATGCCATGGATGGGGTAATGTGCCCCCAGCTCCCTGCCCGGTGTATGATATGATGTCGCACTCACCTGGGGGCCCGGGCCCGGCTGAGCTCTGGGAGGGGGAGAGGCTGCTGGCAGGCACTGGGGGGAGCTTATAGTGAGTGCGAGGCGGTGAGTGCGGCCTCCATGCCTGGCTCCGGCTGCATTGTGGGAGTCTGACCTCACTCACTCGCCGACATGGGAGCCGTTACGGACGGTAAGTCTCCTCTCTGACTGTAGGTAGCCCTGGGCCCCCTTTACTCCCCTCCCCGGTAACCCTCACACCGCCGGAGCAGGCAGGGAGCCGGCTAGGCCGCAAAGCCGCGGTCTGGATTGAACAGCCTGCCGGGCACAGTGCATTCTCAGGGGGATAGACCCAATGATTCACCCAGGCTTCTCCATACAGCATGGCCTAGCCTGGGAGAAGCCCTTGTTACTTCTACTGATTCATTATTCCATATGTTTAGCACTAAGCTCCCTGGTAGTAATGCTTATAGGAGCTGAGAGTAGATTGTAAGCTTTGCTGGCTAAAGCAGTGTACAGGCTCCTTTATTTTATTTTTAGATCCTTCCCCTTTTTCACTTGTAAATACTTCACTGTTTCCATTATTTGTCCAGGTATAATATTTAGAGTTTTATTTTTTATTTAACATTCTAAATTCCAGCCACTGATTATCATTTTATACAATGGGGGTTTATTTAGTAAACTCAGAATTGTAACAAATTAAAATTCAAATGGCAATATGCAGACTAAAATAACCCAGAATAGCCAGGATGTTACTGCAAGTGATTCAGAGAACCCCCACACCAGCTATTGTTGACTACATTTTGGAATTTAGTGAATAAACTCCCATTAGTTCAGCTATTTTGGTCAAAAACATTAATTTCATGCTTGCAGTCCTATGGACTGTAAGCTCGTTTGAGCAGGGTCCTCATTATTATTATTATTATTATTTATAAAGCGCCAGCAAATTCTGTAGCGCTGTACAATGTTGTTCCTGTAACATTTTGTAATTGTCTCATTTATTGTTAAATTTAAACAGCGCTGCAGAATAAGTTGGCGATATATAAATACCTATAATACTAACTTGTGAATTTTATCACTTTCTGGGTTTTTGTATGTTTTCAAAGATGAAATGCACACCTCATGTGTGGTGGCCAGGAGGATAAGCTGCAGAGAGATGTACTTTCCTGAAACGTGACATCTTGGGAGATGATGGAGACCTACTTCAATTCCTGGCACATAACTTGCTAGGAACCCACATCACTGACCTGTGCAAGATCCCACAAGATCAGATGAAACTCAGTTGCTCGCAGTGCACAATGTTTCACAGCTGTCGTTAAAACTTTGTCTTATAATGGCTTCTGATACTTTGTCTTATATCTTTTGGTTGTTGAGAATTTTGATCAAATTCCAAGCAGTCAATATGAGTAGTTCATAAGCATTGTATCTTTATGAAACACTCCAAGATGATAGAGCTATTTTAAAGGAAAACTGTAGTGTTAGGAATACAGGTGGTCCTTACTTTCCGACATACCTGTTTTACGATGGCTCACACTTACGACCAGCTCTCTAGCGTGGGGATTCCCTACATTAGAGAGCTTGTCTATGTTCGGGGTAACATAGACCTGCTCTCTTGCACATCCTCACTTACTGACCAATTTGTTTTACGACCTGGTCTTAAGAACAGAACTCGGTCGGTAAGTGAGTAGTGCCTGTACAAAATTGTATTCCTAAACCTATAGTGCCCTCTGATCGCCCCCTTCGTCGCACCCCCCTCCCTTTGGCACATAAAGGGGTTAAAAAAAAAAATATTTACTTACCTGATTCTGTATGTTCCTCAGCGCTGGGTTGCTTTCCACGTCATCCGATGGGGGTGACCTAATGCGCATGTGTAGCGAGCACTTTCTGTTTCCCTTCGTCCTGCAATGTAAAACATTGCAGTTTCAGGGAAACTAATGTTTATATTGCAGTTCAAAAATGGCCTCTAATGGTGGTTCCAGTAGTGTCACAAGGTTTGACTCTGTAAAAGGACGATGGACTTCCTCACACTCTTCATGAGGATGTCCAGCGTCAGAGAAAACCCAGTGCCTCAATGCTTTCCTACTGGGTTTTCTCTGACGCTGGACATCCTCATGAAGAGTGTGAGGAAGTCCATCGTCCTTTTACAGAGTCAAACCTTGTGACACTACTGGAAGCACCATTAGAGGCCATTTTTGAACTGCAATATAAACATTAGTTTCCCTGAAACTGCAATGTTTTACATTGCAGGACGAAGGGAAACAGAAACTGCACCCAGACCACTACAATGAGACGAAAGGGTCTGGGTGCCAATACTGTTGCTTTAAAACAGACAATTGTGGGGTCTTTGTATTTTTCAAAGACACCTTATTGAGACATGTTGATCATAAGTTGGTAACTTGGGGGGGTTTGTTAATTTAAGTTCTCATTCCTTAGTACTTTTATCTTTTACATGCCAGCAGTTATGCTTATTGACTCAAGGAAAGATCTTGCAAGATTACAAGAACTACCTTGATAATCACAAAACCGTTCTATGAAAGATGTTGCAAGATTTTAGGACCTACCTTGATAATCTTGCACTTGTGCTGTTCCCATTAGCTGCCTCACCATGGCAGGATGTGGACTGTCTGTCTGTGTCCACGTTTCAGAACTCACATTAAACAAAGAGGAAGAGTTTTCAAAGTGTTTTGGTCTAAATATTGCAAAAGTGATCATAGGAACCGCACTCCATCCCAGTAGCCACCGGTGCTCCGGAACAGAACCAGCAATCCCAACACGTTAAGGCAGCAAGAAAGATTCCCAGGCACTCAAGGTGTGAAAGCCGCAGGCAGATTTATTGAAACAAAAAGACAGCGAGCTTGAAAAAAACCTCTCAGTAGGTTGAAACGTTGCTGTCTTTTTTTTTTTTTTTGTGGCTTTCACACCTTGAGTGCCTGGGAATCTTTCTTGTTGCCTGGTCTAAATATTGTTCTAAAGTACTAGACATTAGGTAATTACCATGTAGACCAATGGAACGAGCAAAAATATTCCATTGATGATTCTTCCCCTTTTTACATTTCTTCCATCACTTTTTAGAATAGAACGCTTTGCTCCATCTCCTCCAATGTCTTGTGTAACCTTTTTTGACTGAGTTGGAATTAATAGGAAATTCCACCACTGACCATAATCTACCTTAAAGGGTTACTCCAACCCTTTTGAGTGAGAGAGTGCTATTCTGTGGAAAATGAGCACTTGCATGTGCACTACAAGCTGCAAAAACAAGTGTTTACCTGGAATCCAGCACAAGGTGAAGCTCGTGGCGTTGACTTCACACCTCTGTCTTATGTCATATGGGCCTTGCAAGGTCCAATCACAGACTTCTCATAGAGAAACCTCTGATTGGACCATTAAGCTGGCGAAGGATTTTAAAAAAGGATTTAAAAAAAAAAAAAAAAATACCAGAAGGGCGGAGTAAGGAGAAAACTATCTACCCCTTGCAGGTGCTCTGCCTGCAAGGGGAGAGATTAGCACGCCTGTCGCCAGTGTGCTTTGTGCACTGATGACAAATGCAAAATATGCACAGAATTGACATTGGCAGCTCGGAACAGGGTTCTGGCTGCAAATGCCACGTTTACTGGGGGGTGCAACTAGCTCCCAGCACACAATTGACAATCACACTGCACATTAATAAGCACTTCAAATCATTAAAGTAGTCATGGTGTTTGGAGTAACTCTTTAATGAAAAGCTCAGAAGTGACAGTGCCATATTGAATAAATATATCTGATAGTTTTTAAAAGGTGATAAGTAAAATGGTGGACAGCTTCCAGCACCTATATAGGACAGATTCTTCTGCGATGCTCAGTCTTCCTTTGGATCTTCTGTTCCTGTAGATTCAAAGTCCCATTAGTCTTTGCGAATCTATGGATGTTTGATTATTCTGGAAGTTGTAGTACATGTTTACAGCTGATTTACTGCAAGTAAGTCTTTGTCCACTCAAACCTTTTTAAGCATGTAGAGCATGTTATGAATGCTAGCAGAATATTGATTGCAATGTTTGTTTTCTTTTTTTATTCAGTGACAGTAATAATGATAGGTGAAATGTGAATGACCATGTTGTTGTTGTTGTTGTAATAGAACATTAAGAGAGATTAGTTGTCCTCTGTGATTATTCCAGAAAACCTGTGCCTGCACAATAATACATAATGCCTCCTGATGTTTGTAAACAAGCCAATGTAGTATTCTTTGTAATATATGCTACAAGAGGTGATTTAAGTATTTTTTTGAAGCACTCCAGTTATTGACACACCCAGCACCATTACAGCACACTAGAGGGGTTATGTTGTCAGAAGCCTAGGTGCCATCCCATGCTTAGTAATCTAACCATTTTAGAACGATTTGAAAACTTACCTGGATCCTGTCAGGCACCCGCAGCTGCAATCCCTGCATCAGGTCTTCTCCATTAACAGAATGTGGTTAGCTTTATAGAGCTAAGCAGGGCCCGGCAGTACCGCACATATGGCCTGAGAGTGTCCTGAGAGAGTGTCCACCAGAGAGCGCTGTCGCGATAAGGAAGTGGCTCCACCAGTCAGGAGCTCTTAATTCTTGGTGATGTTTGAACTTATCTCATGTAGAATATGTAATCTAGTCTCTTGCTTGGAGTGTCTTTTAAAATCATCCTGTCTGCTTTTTGCTTTATGTTTTGCTGGCAAATATTTATAAGTAATACCTGAGTTCTGCATTGCTGTCATATCATAAACATGCCCATAATCTGCAGTTCAGTATTCTGTTTAGTGTTGCTGCTAAACTAGTGATGTTTTGCCTTGTTCCTGGTACTTAGCCTGTTGTTTTGTTTGATAGATGAAGTTATACGCAAGAGACTTTTGATTGATGGTGATGGAGCTGGCGATGATCGAAGAATTAACTTGATGGTAAAAAGTTTCATAAAGTGGTGCAATTCCAGCGCCCAGGAAGAAGGGTAAGACTGATTTCAGTTTGTCTTTGTCTTAATATTTTTCAACTGTATTTATCTGTTTTCGTTCTATTTATTTTTCTGTTGCAGTGATTATGACAGTGTCACATTACAACTGTTTAAGGGACACTATAGTCACCAGAACAACTACAGCTTATTGTATTTGTTCTGGTGAGTATAATCATTCCCTTTAGGCTTTTTGCAGTAAACACAGCTGCCCATCCTCCAGGTGCCCAAAGGAGCCATGTCACAGTATGGCAGAGCAGGCACCTTCTTAACCTTGATGACAGGTGCTGCTCTGCCATCAAATGACGGTGCCCGGAGGAGAATGCAGGCGGCGAGGTCTTCTTGCAGGCTCTCCGTCCTCTGTGATGCCGGGAGCCAGAATATGCCGTAATTTCTGCTGAGGCATACTAAACAGCGGGCGGGAGGAGTGAGAGGCTGCCCCACACTGGAAGCCAGGGAGGTGAATGTTTGAGTGTTTGTCAGTGAGTGTATGTATGTCAGTTAGTGTCTGTGTATGTGTATCAGTGAGTGAGTATATGTCTGTCAGTGAATGTGTGTGTCTGTCATTGCGCGTGTGTGTGTGTGCATGTCAGTGAGTGTCTGTGTGTCTGTCTGTCAGTGAGTGAGTAACATGAAGGGGAGGCAAAATGGATCTTTGCCTAGGGTGGCAGAAATCCTTGCACCGGCCTTGAGTAAACACTGTCTTTTCAGAGAAAATTAAGTGTTTACATTACAGCCTAGGGATACCTCCATTGGCTACTAGAGATCCTGGGGCAGTCCTGCCTAGTGTGTCGCACTGCCATTCAATGTCTCCATTACCTGCATGCAGACACTGAATTTTCCTCATAGAGATACATTGATTCAATTAATCTCTAAAGGAAATGCTGATTGGCCAGGGCTCTGCTGATTGACCAGTGACTTGTGCTGGCTCTGCCCCTGATCTGCCTCCTTGACAGTCTCAGCCAATCCTATGGGGAAGCATTGTGATTTACTCAGACCACCACTTCTTATAATGACTGCTGGGAGGTCAGAGGCAGCAGCTTCAACCTTGAATACAAGTAAGATTTTACTATATTTAGGGAGGCAAGTGGGCGCCAGGGGGGCTAGATGGCGGTTTTAACACCATAGGGTCAGGAATAAAGGTTTGTGTTCCTGACCCTTTAGTGTTCCTTTAAACTGTGTAGTTCTTTGTAGCATTTGATTACACAATACACAATATTGGTGGTTTAAATGCCCAGAAATTCTGTTTCTATTATGGTAACGGAGAGGCTCTATAAACTAGAAATTATCTTCTTTTTTTTTTTTTTTTTACAACTGCTATTTAGTCAGTAAGGACTAATGCTGATATGATATATGATATGATATGATTAAACTCACACCTATCATAGGAATGGCTTGACAAGGTAACATAAAAAAACGTAGTTTGTATCACTGATAAGAATAACTATGGGTTGACGTACATTTGACTCACAGAGACTGGTTATAAAGTTCTGTATTTGTAAGTTGAATAGTTTTTACATGTGTTATAACAATGAATACCCTGTCTTTTGTAGAAATATCTTAAATTAAGGAGTTTAAGAATAAATAATTTTTGTAAAATTAGGAGGAGAAAAAAAAAAAAAGAAGAATCACTAAATGGCGTAATTCTATTCTTCACTTATCTATATTGTTATTCAGTGAATGCCATGTAAGGGATCTTTTATATCCAGGCTTGTCAGATCTCATGGAGACTAGGAATTTTGCCTGGGTGTTTGTCAGACCATTCGGCTGAGGGGGAATGAAGGCGGCGCAAGCAATGCGGGTGTCAAAGGAACTGAAATCTCCAAGGTCTGCTCTGCTCGCTCGTGCCACCTGGTGTGATGCCAGGAGCCTGAATACAATGTCACTCCGGCCCGGCATCACTAAACGGGGCGGAAGAGTGCAGAGCAAGAAGAGCTTGAAGATTTCAGCACCCAGTTAAAGGATCCACTCCAGCTCTCCCAAAGGTAGGGAGGCTGGGTGAACTTAATAAAAAAAAATTATTATAATTTGTGCGTGTGTGAGAGAATGTAAAAGTGTGCCTGTCTGCCAGTGAGTAAAAACAGTGATTGTGTGTCTGACTGTGAGTGCTTATGTTTAGGTGATCGGCTCCCCCTCCGATTGCATGGGAAAGGTGTTTTTACTTACTGGCAGACCATGCAGAGCGTGGAGACTCTGATTGTAGGTGTTGAGCATTCTGCAGCACTGTTCTAAGAAGCACTTCTAGTGGATGTCTAGGCAGCAATGTAAACACTACCTTTTTTTCTGGAAAGACAGGATTTTCACTGCTTGGCCTGGAGGGACAAGTTATGGACACCAGAGCCACTACATTAAAGGGACACTATAGTCACCAGAACAAATAAAGCTTATTGTATTTGTTCTGGTAAATATCCTTTCCTTCAGACTTTTTGCAGTATACACAGTTTTTTTTTTCAGAGAAAAGGCAGTGTTTACATGACAGGGTAGGGATACCTCCACTTGCCACTCCTAAGATGGCTACTAGAGGTGCTTCCTGGGGCAGTGATGGAGACCCTGAACTTTCCTCATAGAGATGCATTGATTCAATGCATCTCTATGAGGAGAAGCTTATTGACCAGCACTGTGTTTGGCTTGGGCTGGCTCTGCCCCTGATCTGCCTACTGACAATGTGAAAGCATTGTGTTTGGCTGAGAGATTTACTTCTGCTGATGTCAGCCAAGCAGGCATATCAGGGGCAGAGCCAGCAGCAGCAGACTACTAGCTTTATTGCAGGGGAGCTAGATTGGGTTTTTAACACTATAGGGTCAGAAATACATTGTGTTCCTGACCCTAGAGTGTTCCTTTAAGATGTAGTGGTTCTGTGACTAGATTGTCCCTCGAAGAATTGTATTTTTGTTGATGAAAATAAAACTTTGTCAGTAAAAAAAGAAAAAAAATCCTGACTCCTAACTTTGTTTTGCTAGCTCCTAGATTTCAAGCAAATTTGTCAAGCCTTGCTTTATATGCTATTTTGATTGTAAGTTCTCCTGTCTAGAGAACTTTTACTATTTCATAGAACATGTGTAGCACGCCTCATTGGATACATTTTACACATGCACAGTAGAATAGTGTTGCCAAATTATGTTGGTGCAAAATGTTCTTCTATAATATGCACATGTGAAATTATATCTTTATTGCAGAGAGGGAACTGTTAGCGACAGCTCCTCTCTAATAAACACTATTTTAACATTTATCTGGGTGAATCATGCAGTGTAGGCAAGTAGAAAACTAACTTGTTTTTGTTACACTTTCCTGTGTCTTGCATGAACTCTGGCTTCCTTATTCTGTTTCCACTTTTAATTTTAAATATTGGAATGGGAGGACACATGCAAATAAGAATCCCCACCAATTTGTGATTCAAAATGCTGCTTTGAATGGACATTATAGTCACCAAATCAACTTTAGCTTAATGAAGCAGTTTTGGTGAGTAGTTCATGCCCCTGCGTTTTCGTTGCTAAATTCTTTCATTTAGGAGTTAGATCACTTTGTTTATGCAGCCTTAGTCACACCTCCCTGCATGTGACTTACACAGCCTTCCTAAATACTTCCTGTAAAGAGTCATTGGGCAGACTAGATGGGCCAAATGGTTCTTATCTGCTGTCAAATTCTATGTTTCTATGTTACATCACATTCTATGAATCATCAAATGGTTTCACTTCCTTTAATGCAAATTCTGCTTAATTTAGAATTACTTATTTCCTGCTCAGTTAATAGCTTGCTAGACCCTGCAGGATCCTCATGTATGTAATTAAATATCAGTTTCCAAAAAATGAAGCCATTTCGTTTTCATGCAAGCTGCTAAACCGAAACAAAAGTGATTTTAAATCTTAAATGACCGTGGATTGACCAGTGAAACTTCAGAGGCATAATCTATACAGCAAAACTGCTTCATTAAGCTAAAGTTGTTTTGGTGACTATAGTGTGCCTTTTAACCTTTCCAATAAAGCTGCCTCTTGACTTCACTCAAGTCCCTAGTTCTCTGTGCCATATATAGTTTTGGCATAAAACCTTAAAAAAAAAAAAAAATATATATATATATATATATATATATATATATATATATATATATATATATATATATATATATATATATATATATATATATATATATATTTATATTTGAGAGGGCCCATATTTTCTATCATCTAGGTTGTGACCAACACAATGCAATCTTTAGAAGCAGAATGAATATTTTGGATCCACACTCCTAATTATTAGACTGAGATATAACTGAGATCCTCCTTCATTGATCCTCCATGTCCTGTGTTTTTCAGATATACCCAGTACCAGCGAATGCTGAGCACCCTATCTCAATGTGAGTTTTCCATGGGAAAAACTCTTCTCGTACATGATATGAACCTGCGGGAAATGGAGAATTATGAAAAAATATATAACGACATTGGTAAGGAGACTTTATCTACACATGAAACAATAAATCTGTTTTATTCATTTTATTTTGTCATGAAAAATCTAAGGTATTGCTTATAGAGACATGTCAGCCAACCATATTACCGTGGTAGAGCTAACAAGTATATTGTCAATATTTGAGATCAACCATACGGCATATTCATGTTGGGGCTGTTTGGATTATTTTGGTTGTGGGGTTATTTTCTTGCTCATCCTTCACCCCTTTATTCTCTGTGGTTAAGAGATATATCGTATTAGATGGCTATTAGGCAGCTATCTTTATTCTAGGATCAGCTTCGTTATTTCGAGACTGAGTGGGAAAACAAGATTAAAAATTCTTATCGTTTTATAATTCAAGATATTCAAACTGTGGATTATTTGTTGTACAAAATTGTTTTTTGTTTTACATCGATGGATACAAATATATAAATTGTTTTTATCATCCATAAATATAAGCAGATCAATAATTTACAAAAAAAATAATTGTAAATTCTGATGGATCCTCTTCCCTTTTTTATTATTGTTATTTTAATTTTATGCTAAGTACCTAATAACTATTTGAAAAGAGAGAGAGAGAGAGAGAGAGAGAGATATATATATATATATAATATAACAAAAGGGGGTTGGCTGCACTCACCTTAACATGCATAAATGGGGGTGCTGCTGGGGGCCAAATAATACAAAACACAAGATCCAGCGCACTCACCTATCCACTAAACAGCAACTTCAATGTTGAAAGATTTTATTAGTTTTTTTAAAAACACCTAATCTAGGCAAAAATAATGGGGGTTTAGTTACATTATATGATCATACATTGCATAAGCCTGCCACAACGTCAATGTACCCCATCTTTGGCAGGTCCTACACTAACAGCCTAATGTCTGCTCTTATGAGATTAACCTACTTGGGGAAAGAAATTCCATCTGGGGCTCTCTGCAGTACAAGGCTAAATAGGGCCCTGGGATGAGGCACCTGTGACAGGGAGGGGTGCAAAACCAAGGAGTTGGCTAGACTCCCCAAATATATATAAAACAAAAGGGGGTTGGCTGCACTCACCTTAACATGCATAAATGGGGGTGCTGCTGGGGGCCAAATAATACAAAACACAAGATCCAGCGCACTCACCTATCCACTAAACAGCAACTTCAATGTTGAAAGATTTTATTTGTTTTTTTAAAAACACCTAATCTAGGCAAAAATAATGGGGGTTTAGTTACATTATATGATCATACATTGCATAAGCCTGCCACAACGTCAATGTACCCCATCTTTGGCAGGTCCTACACTAACAGCCTAATGTCTGCTCTTATGAGATTAACCTACTTGGGGAAAGAAATTCCATCTGGGGCTCTCTGCAGTACAAGGCTAAATAGGGCCCTGGGATGAGGCACCTGTGACAGGGAGGGGTGCAAAACCAAGGAGTTGGCTAGACTCCCAAATATATATAAAACAAGAGGGGGTTGGCTGCACTCACCTTAACATGCATAAATGGGGGTGCTGCTGGGGGCCAAATAATACAATACACAAGATCCAGCGCACTCACCTATCCACTAAACAGCAACTTCAATGTTGAAAGATTTTATTTGTTTTGCACCCCTCCCTGTCACAGGTGCCTCATCCCAGGGCCCTATTTAGCCTTGTACTGCAGAGAGCCCCAGATGGAATTTCTTTCCCCAAGTAGGTTAATCTCATAAGAGCAGACATTAGGCTGTTAGTGTAGGACCTGCCAAAGATGGGGTACATTGACGTTGTGGCAGGCTTATGCAATGTATGATCATATAATGTAACTAAACCCCCATTATTTTTGCCTAGATTAGGTGTTTTTAAAAAAAACAAATAAAATCTTTCAACATTGAAGTTGCTGTTTAGTGGATAGGTGAGTGCGCTGGTTCTTGTGTTATATAATATCTCTATCTGAGCGGTAATGTGGGATTGGAAAACCTATAATCACATTTTAGGCATGTGCCACCATAAATCAAAAACTTGGGATGTATGTCAAAATGTATTGTCCTCTGTATTGAGTAATAACTCCCTATAGCTCCTTTTGAGTGGACACTAACAAGTTTGTATTTGCATTGTCTCCTTACATGTGAAGAGAGTAGCATTGCTGCAGCGCATGAGAAAATTGCAGAGTGCAAGAAGCAGATCTTGCAAGCGAAACGCATCCGAAAGAATCGTCAAGGTAAAAAAACACCCCCTTATTATAGTGGCACTGGTTAATTAATTCGTTCACACAAACAAATGTATAATCCACTAAATTTTCATTTTCAGAATACGATGCGTTGGCCAAAGTGATACAGCATCACCCAGACAGACACGCAACATTAAAGTAAGAGAACATTATGTATGAGGTACTATAGAAGATGTTGCAATAAATAAATTGGCTTAGACACATGTGAAAGAATGACAAGATCCCTTGCTCGACTGCATGAGTCATTACATGACATTCAATGCATTAGTATTAACAGGAGTGTCAGCAGCCGCAAGTGGTTTCAGTTCTATATAATTTAAAACCCAAGATCAACGATCTGTTGAACTAAGGCTTGAAATGGTTTAACTCTACCTCAAGTAGAACTTTAGCACTGTAGTGTAGCAAATTCTTGGGAAATTTGTGTTTTGTTTTTTTGTGTACATCTGCCATCTTGGTTCTTTTGTCTCTAGTGGTGGTTTTTTGTCCATATTTAAAGATGGACATTGTGCAGCAATTATAACCCCTTTCTAACAGAAACTACATCATATTTAATGAAATTCTTCTTGTTATGTTACTGTAGCTCCTTCCCCTAGTTTATTCCCTTCCTGACAAGCAGCCATCATCTCTGCACTTCACTCACTAAAAATTCATTAAGAGCTCGGAGGTTTGTATCTTCCAACACACACACATTTAGAAGGCTCTACATCTGGTTAATTGTGCGCAATTTTGTTGTAGGATTAAAAAAATGTTGTTTTGGTCAGTTTATAAATATCCAATTTATATCTTCCTGTTTTTTGGGTTTTTTTTTTTTTTCTTCAGACAACTTGATACTTTAGGAGAAGAGCTTCAGCAATTGTCACAAACTAAACAGAATGTGGAGGATAAGGTAAGATTCCTTTTAATCATTTTTCTATCTTTTCAGCTGTGTAGAATTTCAGTTTGAAGATGCTTATTTTGGTTTGCATGCTAATAAAAATTAGTTTCAATAGGCTTTGCTGCAAACGAATTGTGACTTAAGTAAAATAATCCGAATAATAGTGTCCTAATCAGCTATATAAAGAGATGGGAATGATTTGTCCTACATATGATTTTACTGATATCAAAATGACTTGGCTTAGTAGAGTTCTACTTTCTGAAGACTAACTTTTTCACTCAAGATTGTAGAGAGATTGTAATTTTTGCAGGTCAGTAGGTTATGATATGCGGGGTCAAGTTTGGTAATAAGGTAAAATAACAGAAGTTTATTTATTTTATTTTTTTACCTAATGTATTTCTTTATTTTGTAGCTGGAATTAAGGAGAAAACAGTTTCACGTTCTTCTCAATACCATTCATGAGCTTCAACAAACTCTAGAAAGTAAGTTAATCTTCTATTCTGATTTTCGGCATATTAATGTAAATAAAAGTCAAGAGCAGCATGTTAAACACACAATAAAAGAGAGGATAGAAAAAAACACACAATGAAAGAGCAGACTGAGTGCTCATTTAGAGACTTGCTTTGAATAAGGCAATAAAAGGGAATCGGTATGTTTACTAAAATTTTCACATAAAACACCTTGGATTGTGCTGATTTTAGAATTATATACAAACCCAAAAATAAAGCAGTGGCTTAGTATCGAACAGCTCAAAATATATAGTAGTAAAAAAACACGAGACCGTTACCTGCGCTCTGGCCCAAATCTCTATGTACATCTAAACGAACTGGAGGCTCTTTAGTTTTATTCCAATGGCCATTTGAATATATAAGATCACCTGCCACATCAAGGCAAGCCTCAATAGGTGAGTCCTACACTAGCCATTAGATATGCTGATATCAGCCAAGAATCTCCAATGAGACAGGAAGGGGTATTTTATAAACCCTTTCACATTTAACCCTTTATAGGGCTTCTACACATACAATAAACTTTGATGGTATCAGACAAAGGTAGACGTTTCTTCCCCCCCCACGCCGTCTACTATAAGATTCCATCAGTCGTCAGCTAGAAAGAAATAAAGGAAACTCTCCCAAAGTTGAAAGTTTCTCTATGCTCGTGTGAAGATATTTGTGTATTTTGGGAGTTGCATCAAAAGCAAATGATTATTTAAAAGGAAACAAAGTGTATACAATAATTAGCTTGTGTTACCATGTGTAACCACAATGTCTCAAGGGGTAGGCAACCTTCGGCACTCCAGATGTTGTGTACTTCATCTCGCCTGATGCTTTGCCAGCATTATGGTTGCAAGAGTATTATGGGACTTATCGTACACAACATCTGGAATGACCAATCTTGCCTGCCTTTGGTTTGTACCAGGCATAGGCAACCTTCGGCACTGCAGATGTTTTGGACTACACCTCCCATGATGCTTTGCCAGCATTATAGGTGTAAGAGCATTATGGAGGATCTAGTCCACATCTGGAGTGCTAAAGGTTGCCTACCCCCCGGTTTATACTATTACATCAGAAACCCTTTCCCAGGCTTTATTTACTATGGCCTCTATAGGGAAATAAATGACTTGACAAACCGTTTATTCAGTTTCAATTGCTAGGGGTCCTGATGTTTATATACACATGAATTCAACAAACCTAGATTATAACTTCAAACTAGATATTGTTCAATCAAGCAATATGTGTCTGTATCACAATATACCATTTAACGTTTATAACACTATTAAATGAACACTATAGTGTTAGGAAAATAAAATACTATAGTGCGCCCCCCTCATTTATCCCCTGATAAAAGGTTAATAGACTTTTTTTTTTTTTTTACTTTTCCACTTACCTGATTTCCTGCACTTATGTCCCTCGGTGCCAGGTCTGGCTTTGCCAAAGTCACAATGGTTAGGAATGCGCATTGAACACCAAGATGCTTTCAAGATGCTGGACATGAGGTTGTCCAGCTTTGTTTCACACAGTATAACTCAATAAAACATCAGGAAGGGTCATGAGTGGCTGTTTGGTAGACATCTGCTACCAAAACTGCAATAATTAACATTGCAGGGTTAAGGGGACAGGGACACTGCACCCAGACCACTTCAATGAGTAATCTGCTACCTGGTAGATGAGTTTCATTCCTGTGTATATTGCTGACACCTGACCACTTGCTGTATATTAAAGAAAAAGAGCTGTTTTTAGAATGTATAGAATCGATCTCTAATACTCATGTGTAATAGGTTTGCTCACACTTCCATAATTACCAGTTTACTCTATACTGTTCAGCCGCTCTTCTCCCTCACTCACTCACTCCCTTCCTTTTTTTTTTTTTTTGCTATTTGCTTAAGTGTGTTTTAGTGCGGTTAATGGCACCTTCATCAGAGGGTCCCTATAGTACTTTTTTCACTTTTAGTTTGTCGTGTTTCTGTTGTTGAAAACTGAGGGTTCATATATGTGCCAAAAATAAGGTATGGAGAAGAGCAGCTGATCAGCATAGGCTCAACTTTGATACGTTGTGAGGAAGTGTGAGCAAACCTAGTATAGGTGAGTGTATTAGAGAGCTATTATATTAAAGGGACACTATAATCATTAGAACAACTACAGCTTATTGAATTTATTCTGGTGAGTATAATTATTCCCTTCAGGCTTTTTGTAGTAAATACTATCTTTTCAGAGAAAATGCAGTGTTTACAATACAGTCTAGTGATCACTCCGCTGGCCTCCCCTTAGATGGCTACTAGAGGTGCTGCACAGTGTGACTGCCGTTCAGTATCTCCCCCCTCTGCATGGAGACCCTGAATTTTTCTCATTGCATCTCTGTGAGGAAATGCTGATTGACTAGGGCTATGTTTGACTGGTGCTGGCTCTGCCCCTTCTCTTCCTCCTTGACGGTCTCCTTTCCTACCGGAAAGCATTGTGATTGGCTTAAAAAAACCATTTTTGATGATGTTTGCTATACAGGCAGATCAGGGACCGAGCCAGAAGCAGAGAGGAATCAATGTAAGATTTTACTATATTTAGGAGGGGGGCGGTGAGAGGTGCTAGATTGTGGTCTTAAAACTAAAGGGTCAGGAATACATATGTGTGTTCCTAACACTATAGTGTTCCTTTAATAATATTGGTTTGTTGAAATTCATGTGTATAGTATAAACATCAGGACACCTAGCAACTGAAATTTAATACAGCATGGGAATAGGTATCTCTGATGTGAAAGTATAAACTGTGAAACTGAAACATTTTGGTTACACAGGGTGACACAAGCCAATTATTGTATATACTTTGTATCTTTTTGAATTCTAATTTGCTTCTGATAAAACTTCCACCTTAAAATACATTTTCCATACTAGCATAGAGAAACTTTAAACGTCAGACTTTTTTCTTTCATTCCTTTTCAGTTTATTAAGTTCTGGGTTAAACCCTTCCTTTACTAGTGCAAGTGCTGTGTTGGATCTTACTTTTTTTTATTTTATTTTTATTTTGTTACATCGAGCATTGTGCCCTAATATCAGTAACTATGTTCCATTGCTCCATAGTCCACTACAATCTCCTGTTCAACTGCATTTCTGAAGTTGGAAGACCATTCAGCACCAACATCAGAGAGCCACTTGATTTACACTCCTGTAACATTGTGTTTAAACAATGCTTTAATTATGCAAAACTCAAAATGGAGCAAAGCAAAATATAACCTCCTAATATAAATGCAAACAGATATATAAAATAGCATATTGCCTTCACCAAGTCAATAAACAAGGGATTTTGCTGTATGCACTCATCGTATTAGTATGGTTTCCACATCTTTAATTTTACATTTTCCTTATCATATCCATAAATTGTAAGCCAGATGGGTAACTGAAAAGGTATTACTTTAAATAGTTAAAATAATTTTATGTCCAAAGCTATATGTGCTATTATTGTAATGCTGCTCATTTACCCTTTTTATATACTGCTCAAATGTTGCAGCCCACATTTTGTAGTTAACAAGGGCGTGTATCTCTGTAATGTAAACATGACTACCGTTTTAATATCAAAACTCCCGGAAGCGCCCCTAGAGGATGCCATAGTACTGCAATGCAAACAATGAGATGAATTGGTCTGTGTGCCTATAGTGTCCATTTAAAGGACCACTACAGTGCCAGGAAAACAAACAATTTTTCCTGGCACTATAGTGTTAATAGGTCCGTCCCACACCTGCCGGGCTCTAGTGGGAGGAAGGGGTTAAACACTTGCCTTTCTCCAGCGCCGGGCTCGCTTGGCGCTGGGGACCCCCTTCCGACGTCATCCGCTGAATGCGCATTCAGTCAGTCAATAGGAAAGCATTTCTCAATGCTTTCCTATGGACGCTGGTGTCTTCTCCCTGTGAAAATTACAGGGAGAAGCGCCTCTAGCGGCTGTCAATGAGACAGCCACTAGAGGCTGGATTAACCCATATGTAAACATGCAGTTTCTCTGAAACTATGTTTACAGCAGGCAGGGTTAAACCTAGATGGACCTGTCACCCAGACCATTTCATTAAGCTGAAGTGGTCTCGGTGCCTATAGTGGTCCTTTAAGGATACAATCTTTATAAAATACTCCTATTGATTGAATTTTTTGGAAATAGTATCCAGATACCATAAGACAATGCAGGGACTGTTTTGTCTTGTGGTCAAGCCTGAAACTACCAAAATCGAACAATAAGCAGAGCTACCAGTAGCTTTCCTGAGCTAAAACATGATGTGCAGGGCCAGCTCATTGGCCGAGTACATCAGCTGATCGTCTAGCGGACCCCAAGTTACCAAGTTTTTTGACTACTTGCATATGATTTAAATATGTTATAAATAAGTCAATCAATCGCACACATTATCCCGGATTTTAACTACAGAATATGGGAAAGACACGGCATACAATTTCTACACCAGATACTCACCAATACGGGACTAGCAACCTTCGCCTCATTACAGGCCTCACATAAACTCCCAACGGTAGCACATTATTCATACCGCCAATTAAACTCATGGTTGCGCATACAAATTCAGGAGAAAACAATCAACACTCAGACACAAAAGATGACAGAATTTGAGGAAATGTATATTAGCCCCACACCGCCCCAGAAAGTCATATCCTCTATCTATACAACACTACCCACAAAATGCAAACTGCACGAACACAGATTTATCAAAGCGTGGGAAACAGAAACCCCAAAAAAATTTACTGAACCGGAATGGGAACGCATGATCCTAACCCCCAAATCCTTCACGTTATGCTCAAAACACATAGAGCTTGCCAAAAAACTCCTATATAGATGGTACCTTACACCCATACGACTACACAAATATAATCAATCCCTTCCAACACACTGCTGGAGATGCAAATCAGGCACAGGAACAATGGCACACATATGGTGGACCTGCCCATACCTGCAACAATACTGGAAAGACATATCCAAAATCATCACACACAGTACAGGATGCACCCTACCTCATAATTTGGACAACTATGTGCTCTTCAATATCCCAGAGTCGCTACCTAAACCAGATAGGTACCTCATCTTCCATATAAATATAGTAGCCCTAGGCGCTCTAGCACAAAACTGGCTATCACAAACTATACCCTCCATCCCCATGTGCATACAACAAATAAGCCACGCGGGCCACTTTGAAACCACAATGAGAAGGCAAACCACTTCTCCCAACAAACCACACAAACAGTACCGAAGATACTGGGAAATAGCATGGGATAAGTGGGAAACATACAAAAATGACACAACAGGGAACCTCCCATCGTGAGCTGATGTCGTGAATGACCTCGACCCACACGAGGCCAGAATACTTGCCAAAGCATACCCCACCAGACGGGAATGCCAAAGTAACTGACCACAAGGAGTACGACCACTCCATACAACACTAGAGGTCCAAAGGTAAACTTGAAGAGCAACCGAAATAACCCTCAAATGACTTCAAGCACATATCCAGTCCCCAGGGAAATTATGGCAAACAATACCACTGAAGCATAGGGTCAGGCCCTAGTTCCCTCCCTCTCATCTACTCCAAGGGTACGGGAAAAGTATATATCCCAAAGGCCAATGCACGAATGTCACTGCCTTGCACGGTTTAACAGTAATTATGTGTACTCCAACAAATGTAATTACAGAGACTGTATATGATGACTAACTTGTACACACTCTTTATGGAATTGCAACTACCCCCCTCCCCACCCCTCCCTTCTTTTTTCTGTATCCTCATCCCTAAAGAATGACAAAACAATAAAAATTTGTGGATTCTCTCCTTTTGTTTACAACAATAAAATGCACAGTTTCAATTCTTAAGGCCATGCTTTAGAAGAAAAAAAAAAAAGTTTAGGATGTTGCCTTGTATTTACTTCACTTTTACTAAAGAATAGTTTCTTATAATTACAAGATGAGTTATTAAATATTAGGCCAGAATAACAGGAGAAATAGCGGTGTCATCCCAATATTTTAATTGTTCTCCACGTTTTTTCAGTTCAGTGAATAATCCAATCCTGCTATAATTTTCATGTGTTATAGCATGTGAATTACAGTAGTGTGTGCTTTAGTCAAATTGTAAGTAGAAGTGCACCTAAAGTTAAGTTCAGTGAATTAGTGCCGTACTCTAGCATTAAGTTCATCTAACAACTTAATAGCATAAATAACTGTATTTAGATATTTACAATTGTTAGTAAATTTCAGTAGAAAGATTTTTTTATTTTTATTTTTTTTAATAGTGTCCCTGGCATTTTATTTCTATTTATTTTTTGCTTTTCCTCTATGACTGGCACACTTTATTATATCAGCTGATCTTTCTAATGTTAAAGTATTCTGCATTATGTGTTTACAACAGCTTTGAAATGCACAGAGCAATAGAAAGATAAGCTTAAACATATGGGGCCGCCTGTGCCTACTGTGATTTAATTGGCATACCTGCTATGTGCAAATGAGTTACAGCACTTGGCAATACACTAGATATTCACTTCCTGTATTGCTGCTGAGTTAAATGTGATCTGTTAGGCACTGCGGCACATATATGAAAGATTTCCCCTGTGCCCTAAGATTTTGCACAATACCTTCTATTTTATATAAATCATAGTTGACAACATTTCGGGCCCTGGAAAGCTAAAGTTGCTATAGTAGGTTTTAAACATACCAAGGGAGTCAATACAGTGTTAAAGGAATTATTATTTTTTTCATTACAGAAAATACAAGATTTCATAACCATATACCCGGAAGCTATAATGTATGTGTATGCATACATATGAGTAAAACTCTTTCCAATGCATCTCCCAACTAGCCCTCCATCCACCAATGTTGCCATCATTAATGGGATACAATAAGCAAATAAATAATAAAAAAATAGATTTTAGGTGAATAGATCATGCCCATGCAGCGTCACTATTCAACTGTCAGCCTTTCAGAGTTGATTCTTTGTGAACATCCATTTGCTGTGTTTTACACAGCCTCTATGAAAATATTTAATTTACAAACCAATCTTACAGCACGATGTGTTATTAGAAAGTCTTATCTCCTGCTCTGTTAATTGAACTTGAATCAAACACAGGAGGTTGGCAATTAACAAAGCATGAGCAAAGAAATTCTATATTAAACAAACTGTGCAATAAGGGAAGTTAAGAAATGTGTAGTGAGGCTGAGTTACAGCTAGGGGAAGTGTAGCATAAACAAAGTAATTTAACTTCTAAAACTTTTAAGTCCTATTTATCGTAAGCAGTAGTTATCCGATCAAATATTTTGCGTGAGTAAAAGCTAATGCACTTGACAAATACTGATAAACGCAAGGCATTGCAAAACAGTGTGTTTCAGCAGTTCAGATTGCAAATGGACTTGGGTCAAATTTATACTAATTAAAACCAATAAATATCTGGAAATCTATTAATAAACAGGGCTATACATTGGACACACATTTAGGCTGGAAGAAAGGAGATTTCATCTAAGGCAAAGAGAAGGTTTTTTTTGTTTTTGTTTGTTTGTTTTACAGCAATAGCAATAAGGATATGAAATTTCTGCCTGAAGAGGTGGTTTTATCAGAGTCCATACAGATGTTTAAACTGAAATTGGATAAATACTTGCAAAAACATAACATACAGAGATATAATTTCTAGTGGGGTAAAAGCTGATTGATCCAAGGAGACATCTGACTGCTATTTTGGGGTCAAGAAGGAATTTATTCCTAGTTTGTTGCAAAATTGGAAGCATTACAGACTAGGTTTTTTGCCTTCTTTTGGATCAACAGTAAAAACATATGTGAGGAAGGCTGAACTTGATGGGTGCAAGTCTCTTTTCAGCTATGTAACTATATTTGACCTCTCTCACACAGTTGGCATTAGCCAGGAGATACACTGGTTAAAGGTGTTCAGTTATGTTCGTATTAAAAAATGTATACCTGCATAGCTTATATTACACGCAATCTTTGTATTTCTATAATAAAAAAAAAGTGCAGTTTTCCTTTAAAATGTTGTCTACTTTTTAATATTACCACATATTGATTATAGTTGTGTTTTTTTTCTTCCCAGATGATGAGAAACGTGCTGAGGAGTCTCAGGATTCACAAATGGACACACAAAACCCTTAGAACATTGTGGTGTCCCTAACTGTGCTATGGATTTTAGTTGTCCTAGAAAAATCTACGGGGTATCTTTTTTTTAAACGTTTTTGTAAAAGTTTTCGTTTTCACAGCACCAGCGTCTTATTCGTTTGGAATTTTATATTTCCCATTGGTACACATTCGGCCCCTCAGGGTTGTGTATCCCATATCATCACGCACAATAAACAGAATATTTGGAACATAAGTTTTGAATGAAAATAAAATTCCTGGTGGATTAAACATGATGTGTTTTGAGTTATTCAATATTAAAATGAGATGTTTAACTTGTGCGTTTTAGTTTTGTTATTTCACCTGTCAATTCACCTGAAATCTAAAACTTTCTACGCATTTATGCTTTATTAAGTGTTCTTGCATAGCAAGACCACTTAATGTTATCTCACATATATATTATTCTTATTTTAGCCAAATTTGCCACCCTAACTCCTCCCACAGTTTTTACACTACATAGACAAAAATTTACCAAAACGTGCAGATTGTTCCCGATCGGATTGCTATTACTTTGTGGAACGTTTCGCCAAATGGTTCACGGAATATCGTCGTTCTTGTGGCGAAATTCGTCCCATAGGAATGAATGGCAAAGCTAGAGTGGGAGCTGGCTAAAGCTGAAAAATCAGGACTTGATTTCTAAACAGCCACCACTCCCTTATTTTCAGGCCCACCTGCACAAATCTTATATCAAAAGGTTCAGCTATCCCTGCTGCCACTAAACATGTCAACGGCTAAGCCATAGTCCTGATAGTTTTCACAATATAATAATTTGTTTGCAACTAACGCCGTCCATTGACATCCATTGAAACTTCACTCTACAAAGCTCAAATTTGAAGTGCAATTTCTAAACTGCGACTGTGCCTTCATTTGTAATACTTCAGAGACATACTATGCATCAAAATGTAGGTCTGGGTCTTGTGATTCTCACAATATAAAGCTCTTCGCTGTAGGATTTATAGTTTTTAAAATACGACCGTTTGAAGATGGCAACCGCCAAAATACTCTGACATGTGCCAGGCTGGAGCAGCAAGTGATGTCATAGACAGGGCCTTTTGAACACCTGCTAATATTTTTATAAATGTATGGTTTAATGTAACTGTGCAACAACGTTGCAATTAAATGTGCTATATAAATGATAAGTTACTCTGCCCACTCCAGTTGTAGACTACTGGTGGAGGCAAGAACACTTCACACAATTTCCCCAGAAATTGTAGCTTTTCTAGTTCTTCTTATTATAGCCAAATTTGCCACCCCAACTCCTCCCACAATTTTTACACTACATAGACAAAAATTTACCAAAACGTGCAGATTGTTCCTGATCGGATTGCTATTACTTTGTGGAACGTTTTGCCGAATGGTTCACGGAATATCGTCGTTCTTGTAGCGAAATTGGTCCCATAGGAATGAATGGCAAAATGTTCAAAACTAGAGTGGGAGCTAGCAAAAGCTGAAAAATCAGGACATGATTTCTAAACTGCCACCACTCCCTCATTTACAAGCCCACCTACACAAATCTTATATTCAGCTATCCCTGCTGCCACTAAAAATGTCCACGGCTAAGCCATAGTCCTGATCGTTTTCACAATATGACCATTTGTTTGCAACTCACGTCGTCCATTGACATTCATTGAAACTCCACTCTAGCCAGTTTAAATTTGAAGGGCAATTTCTAAACTGCAACTGTGCCTTCATTTTTAATATTTCAGAGACGTACTGTGCATCAAAATGTAGGTCTGGGTCTTGTGATTCTCACAATATAAAGCTCCTCGCTGTAGGAATTTTTTAAAATATGATCATTTGAAGATGGCAACCGCCAAAATACTCTGACCTGTGCCAGGCTGGAGCAGCAAGTGATGTCATAGACAGGGCCTTTTTTACACCTGCTAATGTTTTTATATATGTATGTTTTAATGTAACTGTGAAGCACTTTGAGCAACAACATTGCAATTAAATGTGCTATATAAATAAATAAAAGTTGAAATGCATTTCTTACTTTATCAAGCTTGCCATGTGTAAATTTGATCAATCAATTGGTTAGTGTAATGTTTACTATCTTTACTCACTCCACACAGTTACTCTGCCCAGTCCAACCTTTCCACAGTTACTCCAACCACACAACAGTAACTCAAGTTACTCCGCCCACTCCAGTTGTAGACTACTGGTGGAGGCAAGAACACTTCACACAATTTCCCCAGAAATTGTAGATTTTCTAGTTATTCTTATTATAGCCAAATTTACCACCCTCACTCCTCCCACAGTTTTTACACTACATAGACAGAAATACAGGGAGTGCAGAATTATTAGGCAAGTTGTATTTTTGAGGATTAATTTTATTATTGAACAACAACCATGTTCTCAATGAACCCAAAAAACTCATTAATATCAAAGCTGAATATTTTTGGAAGTAGTTTTTAGTTTGTTTTTAGTTTTAGCTATGTTAGGGGGATATCTGTGTGTGCAGGTGACTATTACTGTGCATAATTATTAGGCAACTTAACAAAAAACAAATATATACCCATTTCAATTATTTATTATTACCAGTGAAACCAATATAACATCTCAACATTCACAAATATACATTTCTGACATTCAAAAACAAAACAAAAACAAATCAGTGACCAATATAGCCACCTTTCTTTGCAAGGACACTCAAAAGCCTGCCATCCATGGATTCTGTCAGTGTTTTGATCTGTTCACCATCAACATTGCGTGCAGCAGCAACCACAGCCTCCCAGACACTGTTCAGAGAGGTGTACTGTTTTCCCTCCTTGTAAATCTCACATTTGATGATGGACCACAGGTTCTCAATGGGGTTCAGATCAGGTGAACAAGGAGGCCATGTCATTAGATTTCCTTCTTTTATACCCTTTCTTGCCAGCCACGCTGTGGAGTACTTGGACGTGTGTGATGGAGCATTGTCCTGCATGAAAATCATATTTTTCTTTAAGGATGCAGACTTCTTCCTGTACCACTGCTTGAAGAAGGTGTCTTCCAGGAACTGGCAGTAGGACTGGGAGTTGAGCTTGACTCCATCCTCAACCCGAAAAGGCCCCACAAGCTCATCTTTGATGATACCAGCCCAAACCAGTACTCCACCTCCACCTTGCTGGCGTCTGAGTCGGACTGGAGCTCTCTGCCCTTTACCAATCCAGCCACGGGCCCATCCATCTGGCCCATCAAGACTCACTCTCATTTCATCAGTCCATAAAACCTTAGAAAAATCAGTCTTGAGATATTTCTTGGCCCAGTCTTGACGTTTCAGCTTGTGTGTCTTGTTCAGTGGTGGTCGTCTTTCAGCCTTTCTTACCTTGGCCATGTCTCTGAGTATTGCACACCTTGTGCTTTTGGGCACTCCAGTGATGTTGCAGCTCTGAAATATGGCCAAACTGGTGGCAAGTGGCATCGTGGCAGCTGCACGCTTGACTTTTCTCAGTTCATGGGCAGTTATTTTGCGCCTTGGTTTTTCCACACGCTTCTTGCGACCCTGTTGACTATTTTGAATGAAACGCTTGATTGTTCGATGATCACGCTTCAGAAGCTTTGCAATTTTAAGAGTGCTGCATCCCTCTGCAAGATATCTCACTATTTTTGACTTTTCTGAGCCTGTCAAGTCCTTCTTTTGACCCATTTTGCCAAAGGAAAGGAAGTTGCCTAATAATTATGCACACCTGATATAGGGTGTTGATGTCATTAGACCACACCCCTTCTCATTACAGAGATGCACATCACCTAATATGCTTAATTGGTAGTAGGCTTTCGAGCCTATACAGCTTGGAGTAAGACAACATGCATAAAGAGGATGATGTGGTCAAAATACTCATTTGCCTAATAATTCTGCACTCCCTGTATACTGAAACGTGTGGATTGTTCCCGATTGGATTGCTATTACTTTGTGGAACGTTTCGACGAATGGTTCACGGAACATCGTCGTTCTTGTGGCAAAATTGGTCCCATAGGAATGAATGGCAAAATGTTCAAAACTAGAGTGGGAGCTGGCAAAAGTTGAAAAATCAGGACATGATTTCTAAACTGCCACCACTCCCTCATTTTCAAGCCCACCTACACAAATCTTATATCAAAATGTTCAGCTATCCCTGCTGCCACTAAACATGTGCACAGCTAAGCCATAGTCCTGATCGTTTTCACAATATGACCATTTGTTTGCAACTCACGCCATCCATTGACATTCATTGAAACTCCACTCTAGCCAGCTCAAATTTGAAGGGCAATTTCTAAACTGGGACTGTGCCTTCATTTTTAATATTTCAGAGACATACTATGCATGAAAATGTAGGACTGGGTCTTGTGATTCTCACAATATAAAGCTCTTCGCTGTAGGATTTATAGTTTTTAAAATATGACCGTTTGAAGATGGCAACCGCCAAAATACTCTGACCTGTGCCAAGCTGGAGCAGCAAGTGATGTCATAGACAGGACCTTTTGTACACCTGCTAATGTTTATATAAATGTATGTTTTAATGTAACTGTGAAGCACTCTGGGAAACAATGTTGCAATTAAATGTGCTATATAAATAAATAATAACAGTTACTGCGCCCACTCCAGTTGAAGACTCCTGGTGGAGGCAAGAACACTTCACACAATTTCCCCAGAAATTGTAGCTTTCTAGTTTTCCTAATGAGACACAAAAAAAAAACATTTGCTTTATGCATGGATTATGCGGAAGAGATGTCCCCGATACCTGACTGCTTGCTTGTAACTGCAGTAGTTTGCAAACATACGAACAACTAGAGCTGCAACTTTTCACCAAGGTCCATGGAAGAAGCTAACTTTCCTCATTACCTAAACAATTTTTTTTCCCTGTATGTGCATTTGTTCAACTCTCCACCTCCCTGGGAGAATTTTGGGCCTAAATGCTATGCCACTAAGGAATGGCTTTCTGTTCTAGTCAGGGGGAAACCGGTTTTGAGTATTTTGCATATTCTTTATGGGGTTACTGATTTCAGTTTTAGACAGCCTGAGAAAGCAGAGTTAGAAAAGGAGGGTTTCCATACCTAGTATATCTGCACGTTTGGTCGCCATAATACCATTTCCAGGATACTGATAATTTTTCATCATTTATAAGTGATACTAGGCTGAACAGAACTGCATCTTGCGGTAGTTAAGGCTTGTTTTATTCTAAAAGGCCCATTTCACCTAGGTGACCTCCTGATTCTACTCCTGAATTTAATAACACCTCCACTAAGTGATCTAGGATGTGGAGTCTGTTAAATCAAGAGATTACATCTCTGAATTCAAGACTTTTCAGCCTTATTGGCTATTGCTGTTGGAACTGTATTGTCGCGTTCAACGTGGGAGCATATATCCAATGTGTCTTCTTGTCCTTGT